TGGCTCCCGCCGGAGCGGTGGCGGTTGGCGTCGAGGTCTCCCTCCGCTCTTTCTCGGGCTTCTCCCAGCTCTGCCCTTCGCCTCTCGCCCACTCCCGGCTTCGTGCCTCTCGGTGCTGCCTCCTCGCCACGACCACCACCCCTCTCGGGAGGCTCGGAGCGCTTTCCCACTCCGTTTGCCAGGACTCCCTGGCCCCACTCCCCCCACCCCCCCGCGAAGGTTCAGGCTGTCCTGGTCCCACCTTGCTGCGTGCCAGCAGCAGGGCTGCTCCCCCGGGGGGTGGGAGCAGGCTGCCCACCCCATCCCTCGGCTCCCCCAACCCTGGAGAGCCGCCTCTCTCCTTCCCCTCCGTTCCTGGGGATGCAGCCTGTTCCCGTCTGCTCTGCTCTCCCCATCCAGGTGTTTTACAACGGCGCCAACGTGAAGCAGGTGGACGTGCCCACGCTGACCGGCTCCTTCGGGATCCTGGCCTCCCACGTCCCCACCCTGCAGGTCCTCAAACCGGGAGTCGTGACGGTCTACGCCGAGGACGGCACGGCCACCAAGTACTTCGGTAGGTAGTGCAGGTGGAGCTGGGGAGGAGGGGAAGCGTGCGTGGGGGGGGAGCTGTTCCAGGGATGCTCTGCCAGTCAAGGTGCGCCCTGGTGCACTTCCAGGGATTTCTGCTTTCCCAGCCTCCCTGGGGCTGCCGGACCCTTCCAGGGATCTGCCCTGGAAGATGGGGCTTGATGTGAGGTCGGATTTTCTTGGTTCTGCTCAGACGCTCTGGGAGCATCCTCTGCTGCAGCTTTGCTTTTCACAGAGTCACGGAGTGGTTTTGGGTTGGGAAGGACCTTAAAGATCATCTCGTTCCACCCCCCCTGCCACGGGCAGCGGCACCTTCCGCTAGGTCAGGCTGCTCAAAGCCCCGTCCAGCCTGGCCTTGGTAGGACACGAGTCCCTGCGGGACTTGGGAAGCATTACGGGAGGGTGTCACGGCTTTATTTTGGCAAAGGGGTGGCGGAGGTGCCGGGGACGAGCTTGCCAGC